AAAATTAAATAAATTAAAAAAATATGAAATAAAAAAATAAAAAGGTGATTAAAAAGTAAAAAATAACAAATTAGAAAATTATAAAAAACAATAAGATTTTAAAAAGTAAATATGATAAATAAAAATCTAAAAAAAATTAAATTGATAAAAACAAAAAAGAAATAAATAAAAAACAAAAAAGTGCTAAAAAAGTAAAAAAATAAAGAAACAGTAAAAAAATTTACACTAACCCCGCCGCCCTGCCATCTGGTTGCCATTCTCCATTGATGGGAAGGGGGGTTGGCCCTTCCAGATGAAACAAGATCTTCCACATGCCAAAATGTATTCACCTTCTTAAGCCATAAGGCAAAAGAGGGGCACATTGCTGTTTCCACATGTCAGGGATACAACTACCGTGTTTCCCCGAAAATAAGAACACACTCGGTCTTATTTTCAGGGTAGGTCTTTTTTTTTTTATGTATAACACTCCAAAGATAATGCAAATACAAATTAAATAATCCAAAATGGCAAAGTTAAGAATAGAGTGATCAGGGCAATCAGGGTTGCCATACCTTTCCAAGAGCAATTTGGTAACCAGAATGAATGAAGCGCACGTTCACTATAGATTCCTCACAGGCGGAGTGCATTTGGTATCACTCCACCTGTGACAGGAGCCAGCGCTATAGAGGAAATATTGGCTTATGCGGCTCTGCTCCCTGCGCTGCCTCCATGCTTCCTCTAGCGCTGCCTTTGTTGGCACAGCTGATTCTCTCCCGCGGCTCTTCAAGTTCCCCCTTATGCCACCACCGGCCCTGGGAATGGTCACAACCAGGTCTTATTTTCGGGGTAGGTCTTATATTTTATCAATTCCCGAAAATGGTACTAGGTCTTAATTTCGGGCTACGTCTTATTTTCGCGGAAACAGGGTAGCCTAGCTGCTTTCATCAGATGGAGAACAGATCTTCAATATCTAGATTTGGGTATCACATTATGGTGTGAAAAGAAGGGTTGCAAGTCAGGTTTTTATTGCTGTCTGTGCCCCTACTGGGGAGATTCACCCTATTTTCTCTAGTAACCATGGTCCTGATGGCAGAAAGTGATGAGAACATTCTTAATTTTGAGTTATCAGCAAGGATAGAGAGGAAGTGTTTCAATGAGGACATATTGTGGTGGCACTGTCCAAGAGAGGATTTCCCTAAATGTAAAAGTTTCCTCTTGCTTGCTGTTGCATCTACAGGACACTGCTATCCTCCCTTATTAGACACAGATGACAGTAAGCAAAGAAGTAATAAGCAAATGAGGGTTACTGCATCTTGCACATAAGGTGGCTGTAGAATGACTGATATTTACAAGTGACACTTGTCATGGGTCATTTCTGACACTAAGGCAAGTCAACATGTTTGGCAGTTGAAGTACTCCTCAAAACTTCATACACATTTTGGAATAATCTCCTTGCAAGCAGAGACGATCCTCTCCAATGCTGCTATAAAGCAGGAGGAAAATGTACAGTATCCAGCATGTTTTGATGTCAACATTAGAACCACAGTGGGTAATGGCACTCAGATGGCTCACTCAAAACACTTGGAAAGCTCCTTGCACATTATTTATGGGGAAATATCCATCAGTCTATGGCCACTAATAATCATTACATTGATTGCTTAAAAAAAAAAAAAAGCCAGAATGCCAGAATCTGGAGACTTTTAACCACTAGTACTGAAATTATAAAGAAAATATTAATGTAAATGTCCTTCATTATAGAACTTTCTACTTTAATCTTGCTGACTAACAATAAAGAGAGTGCCTACAATAACATGGTTGATGAACAGAAATAACTCACTTATCAAAGCTTTGAGTCGAGCTTGGCAGATTTTCTTGATTGTGTTGCTCCTAAAAGATGAAATGATACAATTAGTTTAATTGTTTAGTTAGTTAAATATTTCTAACATCAGTAGAGACATTACAATTAAAATGTCAAAGGGCAGCCTGAATAAAAGAAAGTAAAAAAAATCTACCTCATAAGCAGATTCTGTAAATGACCGGGTAGCTTGGATGTGAGTGAGGTTATGAGACTCAGGTTGGGAAATGCCAAGACTTGGATAGGATATACTCTGATTCTCAGCCAAGACTGCCTCGGTATGTGGCATATGTGGTACAGAAGGTTGGGCGAGGTGATCCTGTCCTTGCAATGGCTGGGAAATTTCTGAGGGAAAGTGGACAGGTGGAGACATCGATGCAACCGGCAAAATTCCTACGGGGGTAGTTAAGTCCACTTTATACTGGGAAAGACCAATGACCTGTACATGATTGATGAAAAGCAGTTATTTAAACAGTTATGTTCAATCCTATGAATATATGTATATATTTAAAAAAATACACTAAATGGACAACTATTTGTAGACACAAACATTACACCTATCCCAATCCAGCACCACACACATTATTATGGAGTTGTGCCCCCCCTCTCCCTTTTTCAGCTTTAAAAGCCTACATTTTTTTTGAGAAGGCTTAGCAGAATATTTTCGAGTGTGCCAGTGAGAATTTGCGAAGTCATGTTCTGAAGTTGGATACAGAGATTTGGCTCACAATCGCTGTTCCAGTTACAGGGGCACAACAGCTTTGAGGTCAAGGCTTAGGCTACAAGTTCCTCCACTCCATGGAACTGGCTTTGTGCACAGGAGCACAGTTAGGCTGGAACAGAAAAGGGCATTTCCTAAACTGCTGCCACAAGGTTAAAAATACATAATTGTTTAAATGTGTTTCTATGCCGCATTAAGAGTAAGCTTCACTAAAACCACTTAAACTCAATAATTGGCACTGGTGTCTACACACTTTTGGCCATATAGTGTATACACCTATTTGTCCCCCTAAAACCTTTTTGTGCCGAACATTGGTGGTCTTTACCAAAAATACTATATTCAAGCAGGGCTGTTTATTTTTGTTGCCCTGAAATAGCATTTGAGCAACACATTGTGACGATCTTATGTGAATGGGAACAACCTGCTCCGAAACAACAAATTGTACAGGTTAGAAAACCTGTCCAGAAAGCTACCGTTCCCTGGGAAATAATCACAGGTAGAGTGTCTGAATCATATATCTTTTTCATCGCCTCTTCATTTAAATCAAAAAAGGAACATTCAGCCAGGATTTGTGTAATGGATCCATTGGTGATATTAAGTACCTGACGGCACTCGGAACAAGTCTGCAAGGGGCACTACCATCCACAAGATTTACCAGCAGCCGGAGAGCTTATCTAAGCAATTTTTTCAAACTATTGGTAGAATATCATGCTTCGAAAAGGTAAATTTTGTTGACCTCACAGCAGATAAAATCTGAACCTTTTGACTGTGTGTGCATCCCTAATTAGCCCTGCATAGGATTCTACTGACTACAGAGATGAGTTCTGATCATATCCAAAGTAGAAATATACAGTGGCTGAAACAACAACAGTTAACTGCTAATAACGTATATCACATTATTATTATGTTTACATTAGGTATCATACACTGAAATATCAAATGATCATGTAAAAATGGAAATAAAGACAAGGGTAGGAAAATAAAAAGAAAAAAAAAAAAAGATTGCATGCTCTCAGAATCAAAAGCATAGTCATCTTTTTTTATTCATAAAAACAGAAAAAGCTTTACCTATGGATGTAAATTTCTTGACATGCGCCTTCTAATCAGGAATTGCAAAATGTTAAAGTAGTAGTACATTTTGTTTCAACACTGTAAGCAACTAAACATTATTTCTAATTAAAAAAATGCCTTATTGATGAATAAAATATATATCCATTTGGTAGAATGAAGATCAAATTGAGATTGTGTGTGCCAAATGATTACATTTACAAATCTGACCTCTAACAAAACTTAGAACTTAAATAAATCACAAGCTAGATTTATCGGTACTTGAATTACTCCTTCCATTAATATATTTTCTGAACCAATCCAAAAATATTAGATGTTGGTATGGGATACTTTATTGTGCACCTTCAGTATCCTAGTTTAAGACCATCATCTTTTACAGTTTACTGAAGTCGAATATCCAAGATGAATCCTTTTGTTCCCGCAGAACATATCTGCTTCCATTACAGGCTCTATTTTCTTGAAATGAAGAAAACATTCGATGGTGCAATGATTTACTACTACTGCGCTAGGACAGCTCAAGGGAGCTTGTACAAAAAGGTAGCAAGCTGGCATCTCGGTAATGATGAACAACACAATCTCTGATGGAAAGAACTCTACTAGCAATTATAAAACTATTGCCAGAAAAATACTTTTAAAAAGGTCATACTTTTAGAACAGTGGCAGTGTTCATTGGTTACGTCTCCTTCCCATCATTTAAATGATGAAACGGACAAACGGCTTATATTTCAAAAGGGGCATAAGATATAGCTAGGCCAACATCTTTTTATATGTAAAAAATGTAAGGTGATAAGTTATTAATGCAGCTCACTTCACTGAACCTGCGCAATTTAAACTGTGCATACTGTGAATACTAAGCATGCTAGGCGTAAGCAGAAATCACCTTCAGTGAAAACCACATGCCTTATTTACCAATAGGGAGGCTTAGCAAGCAGAGCAAAGCTCAAGCTTTGTTTATAATTTCAGATGCCTATTTCTAGATCTATTGATCGATTTGATGAGAAATTCCTTCACTATATGGTTAGCAGTAAAGATAGCAGCACCCAAGACCAAATGCTGCAGAAGAAAAGGCAACAGTAAGTCTATTTTGTTTACTTTGAACTGAAGCTTGCTAAAGTCTGCTTAATACTTTAAAGCCACAACGTCCACTCCCACTCTGCAGATTAAAGGCCTTCGCAAAAAATTAATACGTGCATTCATTGCAAAACTGAATTTTTTTTTGCACTGGAGCCGGCAAACAGCAATCAGTGGATTGCGGGTTCAATGCACAGGCTCCTGCAGGCTGTTCCAACAGCCCCAGGTACATACCAAGGCAGGAACCTTTGGTTATGGTGCTGGAGGATGTTATCAATGGACTAAAATTGCAGTGATACCATTATTTTCTTCATTCACGTGGCTGTGCAGGTGGAGAGGAACCCTGTGATTTACGTAAGTGGGTGGGGGTGAGTTGAGGGTGGGGGGCTGTGGTATGGCACCATGTTGCACTTTAAATATGTGTGTAACATGGAACCTGGTGTTAAAGGTGGAAAGCATCTTTAAACAATACCCATGTGGTTTAAGCCTAACCACATGGTTATCACTGCTAACCTGTTTGTAATTTCTTTGTGTTTGAAATGAAAACTAAGCAACACCAAGTTCTTGAAAGCAAAGAGTGCTTATTGATATATATATATATATTATATTCTCAGTCCCATATTCTGTATGTTATATGGGTATAAAAAGCATAATAGGACTTCAAAAGGAAGTTCATTTATGTATATTGGCACATATGTAGGTTGTTGCTAGTTCATATTAATTTTCCTGGACTATTGCACTATAGTAGGCCTAAACTGTAAGGCCTCATTCACACGGGCGCTTTCATATCCAATCAGCAGGGGGTCCATGCACAGATTCCCTGCTGATTGGAGCAGTTTGGAACGGATGCCACTTTTGTGACATCCATGTCTTTTTTTTCCTCCATCGCAAGATGGAAGAAAATACTGGACAAATTACCGGACACATGTTGGTCTATGGGGAGTCGAATGTAAACGGACACAAGTTTACATCAGATTACCCCCGATCTGCCACGAACAGGTCCACCAAAAAGGAGGTTTCGTTTTCCGAACCTACCTGGAGTTAGGGGGTAATCGGATGTAAACAGACACACATCAGTTTAGGTATGGCTGCCGACAAACACCGGGCTACCAGTCAGAATCAACTGAAAAGCTGACTGGTGGACCTCATCGTAATGCCTGTGAGAAAGGGCTCTTACTAGAACAGTTTACTAAAGTATTGCATATGAAAAAAAGCTGCCTTTTTTTAGTAACAAATGTAATCCTTCCGTGCACAGATGGACAACACAGTCTTTAATGGAAAGAACTCTACTAGCAATTATAAAATGATTGCAAGAAAAATAATTTTGAGGTGGTCAAACTTTTGGATGCTGATTTCCTCCATCTTCTTTCAGCCACTTTGTCTACCTGCACAAGCACCAGCTTATTATTGTACGTATATGCATCCTAAATGGAGGTCAATAATAAATAAAGAGGATGCAATGGGTGCGTTAACCATTCTTCAGTCTACCTTTAAAAAGGTTTAGGCTTTACATACACTTAAACATGATAAAGCTTATGAGAGATTTTAGTAATTTGGTTTAGTTGTGCTTAATTTTAGATATAGTAAACTTGTCCTCAATATTTATCATGTCTCTTTTTCTTACATAATGATAGATAAATCAATTTTTAGTGAAACATCTGCTCAGTACATGTAAGAATACACTTAAAAGCCTTACAAGTCAATTTGCCAATACCAAGCTAAGATGCTGTCATTTTCACAAATTCATCATTGATCTATTGTTCCATATTGACAGTCATTTCATTTCTCCAGATAAAAGAGCTTATGGCTACCTTCTGCTTACAAACACAAGTAAATTCAAGTCATGTGATTTCCGGTGTACAAACATTTTCTAAAAATTCCACCTACGGTATATAACAGGTAAAATGAACTACTACTTTAAATTCTGGCAGCCTTGTACACATGCCCATGTAATGTACGCATGATAACACATACGACCAACATGGCTAGATGCTAGATCATGTTGGGGTGCTCCTTCTGCAGAAGAAGCATTGCATGTGTGTGACAGTTTTTCCTCTGTTGCAATGGGATCTCTCGGACCTACCAATCATGTCCTTGCTCGAACCCCTGTGGTTAAGGTCAGGTTTTTTTTTTTTCTTTTCGTGACAAAATGTAGAAATCAGTGGATTGTCGCAAAATATTACCTTGTTCCCAGCCCCAGATGTAGTCTGATCAGGAGGATGGGTTATGCTTGGATGATGTGACTGAGGAGGAAGAGGAGGATGGGATTGTTGTGACACAGGCAGAACACTTGGGGAGAGATGAACAGAAGGGATATCACTCTGAATGATCTGCTGAAAAGAGGCCTGGTACGCCTGTGATTGAGGATGTTGTGTTGGCGGCTGTGGGGTCATTAATCCTGGCATGCCAGATGTTGCCACTGCTAGTAAAGGTATGGGAGCAACCTGGATATTTGGCAAAAGATTAGTCTCATATGGTAGCACCAACTGCGGGGTGACTGACTGCCCTGACGGGGGCCCTGCAGGAGTGACGGAAAAGTTGGGCATAACCACACCTGGTGGGAAATACTGACAGGGAGCAGGCAGGGGGGTGATACGGACAGCAGGTAAGTCAGAGAGATTGGCAGGGAGGCTCTCGAGTCCTGTAAGAGGAGTAACTGCTGGTATGAGAGGATACGGAGGAAGCTGAAAGACAATGCACAAAAAAAAAAAAATAAGAAATTACTGCCGTTAATACAACACTGCACAAACTCAGTAAGCATAGTACTTCATTTATATCCAAGTCTGGGTGGGGATTCCTCTTCAAAATGCAAACAGTGTTTAACATTTTGGTATTAAACTTTCACACCAAAAAAACAAAACACATTTTCATTGGTGGGCTGAATCAGCCACATGTTTACTTGTATATTTTGGAAACACTTGCAGCAAAATCTTGCCACCAAAAAGGTAGCAGCACCAACCCACAGGACCACCACTAATCTCCTTTGGCATTCTCTATTAAGTAAAATATAGTAAATAAAAATCCAACAGGGAGAGGGAGATCCCTTTGTAATTGCCACGGCAGGTTGGTGGACATGGAAAGGCAGATGCACAGATCTCAACAGCAAGTGCAGAGTGTACTTGTGGTCAGGGTGTAAATACTCAAGAATTAACATTTTCTCAGGCAGTAAATCAGCTTTAAAACAAGCCCTTGTTGACCTCTGTACCTGCAGGCACTGTGGAGCAGTGCATTCTCAAAGTCCTCTCAGTAAGTTGCTCACCCTGTTCTTCCTTCCAGGACTAGCAACTCTGTATTTATTTCAGAGATTAAAAACCTGAAAGACTGTCAAGTCACTGCTGGGGGGGGTGTAGTAGTTTGAGGTTAGCTGCTGAGAGAAGGATTTTTAACAACTTCAATGCTTCTCCTGTGAACCTGGAAACAATTCATCCCGAGGTCAACGAGTGCTTGCTTTAAAGCTTATATACTGCTTAAAGAATAAGTGCACTTTCAGAGATAGTGCATTTATTCTTTTTGTCCCTGTCCCCTGACCTAACAGAGCTCCACTCCCCCTCTGGCATGACCAGCAGAGGACTTTGGCGCAGGTCAAAAAACTAGTAAAGACACAGGCACCAGATGTCAGTGAGTATGCATCGGTCAAGGGTGGACGTTTGGGTCAGGGGGGCAAACGTGCATTTTCGCTGAACGTGCACTTATTTTTGATGAGCATGTCAATGTCCACAGTCTGGCCACATGTTTTCATCAAAAATCTCCAAAAAGCTGATGTGTATCACAATCTGTTATTTACCCATCTCTGTATATCGGTTTTGCAGGGACTGGCCCAATATAATCAAAGTACTGTATAACACTTCAGATTTTTTAGCTAAAGGAATCAGATGATATTAGATTTGAAATTTCTCATTACCCTATCCATACTGTAAAGGAATTTAGTAAAGGAATTTAGTAAAGATCAAGTCCCATTCACTCTTTTACTTTAAATACTATTCACTGGAATTTACAAGGAAAACTGGCATGACCAACCATGACTATGATAAGGTCCTCAGTACCTAAACTGATGTACTGCATTAATATATTAGTGGAGCCCTCCAACATGTCAAAATGGTTTACATTACTTGTAAAACAAAATGTTATTAGACATGAACGTTTATAAAAAAATTAGAGATTAAATGGTTTTCTTTGATAATTAAACCGGTCCTTCTTGTTCGTGAAATCTCCATTTAGGCCTTCGTAAATAGCATGAATGTAAGCAGTGAGATCTTTGTTATGGAGACCAGCCATAAATTGTTCACACATAGGCAATGTGCCCAATCCTACTTTATCTAATCACAGGTCACCTAATCTATAATAAATCTATCTATACAAGAATATAGCTGTATGTGATAGATTAATTTGTTAGTTGCCCTGCAGAAAGTCTGCAATATTCTGAAGACAAAGAAGAAAGTTTTCAGTCACATTTTCTATTCCACATAATAGAAACTCGAGAAGACAACTATTAGATGGCAAAAGTCAAAAATCCATATATTTGGACTAACTACACTATATGGCCAAAGGTATGTGGACACCTCCCATTTAATGAGTTCAGGTGCACAAAGCCCGGTGCATAGACAGTTTACTAATTTGGAGCAAAGGAACTCAAGACCTTTTGGACGAATTGGGACTTCAACTGCAAGCCAGGTCTTCTCATGCAACATTAGTACCTGACCCAACTAATGCTCTTTTGAACAAATTCCCACAGACCATTCCAAAATCTTGTGGAAAGACCTCCCAGGAGTGTGGAGGCTTTTTACCGCTGCAAAGAGGAGGGGGTTGTAGGTGCCTATGGTTTTGGAATGAGATATCCAAAACTCTCATATAGATGTGATGGTCAGGTGTCCACAAACCTTTGGCCAAGTAATTTATATGCATATTAGGCATAAGGTGACCTTCACTAGCCACTAAAACTAAACTTTACTAAAGCTTATGTATAGCAAACTATAGACTGTCTAATAGCTGGGGTTTGCAACCTACAGGAAAAGCTCTACACTTGATTCAGAATTGTTCCTATTTCCTCAATATTCCTTTAATTGCATATAATCCAGAGATCCGTGTTTCCTAAAGCAAGGTCAATACCCAATTAGTGGACATGTACAATACATGGGCTATGATGCAACCACAGGTTAAATCTTTCTTTATCCATTGCTCTTGATAAAATATTTGCCCATAAAATCTCATGTCTCAAGACACATCAGGTGGGCAGGAATGGGATCAAACTACAAAAAGGTCAGAAGCAAGGGTCATTTTGTTATTTATCTTGGAAAACCACTTAAACGCTGAAAGACGTAACCACCAGATTGCATGACAAAGTATTAAAATGAGAAGGCTTTACCTGTGATGTAGGTACCTGGTGCTGTTGCAATGGTACTGTATTTCTCTGTAGTGGGTTTGGTGGAGCCGGCGTAAGCGGGGGCTGGTACTGAGGGTATGTATGGGAGGTAGGTGGCACAGGACAGACAGACTGCCCAGATGGGATTTGCTGTAGAAGAGCTTGGTGTTGAACTGGTTGCTGTCATTCAAATAAAAACAAAATACACAAACATTAAGACACCTGCAAAGACTCAAAACAAAAGCAGAATTCCAGCCACAAAAATGTTCATAATAGAAAAAAAAAGTTAGCTTTGGGCAGTTGTTTTGGACTGTAAACAGAAGGAATCTTCAGTTAATTTGTACATTTATATATGCTGGAACGTACAGCTATCACTATACTTCTGGTGCTGTGACTATGAGAGCTGTGGAATGGTACATTCGTTTATCCGCTCTTCCCTTGTCCACTCGCAGAACATCCTGTTTTCTGTGAACCATTCAAAATATACAAGGAGATCTGTGAATGGACAAGAGGCAAGGAGGGGCGGATAAACTACAGTACAGCTTCTGTGTAGGAGAGCAACAGCTCTTATAATCACAGCACTGGTAGTATACAGGGGTGTGGAAATAAAATAAAAAATAAACACTTGCCCAAGGACCAAAGTGGGGGTCCAATCTACTTGTCCCTCATGACAATCTATTTGTCGCGACACAAAAAATTATTTTACCCCAAAAACATATATAACCATACTAAGAAGCACTTCTCATTGTTCACTGGAGTTTCATACAATTTTAAATTTGCTCCAAATTTCTTCACAGAAGGAGAATCTTCCTCAGTTTAAAATGTTTATATTTTTTTACTTTTTAATGGTTAACACAGCAACCCTGTCATCTTTTCTAGACCACAAAAGGCATCTGTAAAATGTACCAGAAACATGCAAAAAGGGAAATCTGCTTAAGAGAAGGAGAGCGGGTACAGCGATTTTGCTGTAAGATAGAAAGCATCCTCAACATTTACTTAGAAGTGTATTCTCCTTGCTTATCTCAATAGTGATCATCCTAGGGAGAATGCATGCCTAAAAAGGTATGCTGGGAGTTAATAAAAATTAATATGCATACTTGCGCTATTTATAACCAAAATATTTTATTTGCAGATTTTAGCAGGTATATTGGCAGCCAAATAACCAAATGGTGGGCAACTTTATTTCTGTTCATTTGATGTTAAAAGAATATCAGTTGGCCAGAGGGGAAATTTTACATGGACAGGATAAATACATCAATTTAGCTTTCGAACATCTTTAGCTCAATAAAGTTGCTGATTTTTGTATGACCACCGTTCTACACTCATTAGTCACTTTATTAGGTACACCTTGCTAGTACTTTTTTCAGAACTACTTTAAGGAATGTTTCCATCACCTTGCTGAATCAATGCCACAAAGAATTGGAGAGTTTGGTCCATACCGACATGATAGCATCACACAGTTGCTGCAGATTTGTCAGCTGCACATCCATGATGCGAAGCGCCACAAGCCTGAACCGTTGATACAAGGCAGGATGGATCCATGCTTTCATGTTTACATTAGATTCTGACCTGACCATCTGAATGTCGCAATAGAAAATCGAGACTCATCAGACCAGGCAACATTTTTCCAATCTTCTAGTTTACATTTTTGGTGAGCACTCGCAAACTGTAGCCTCAGTTTCCTGTTCTTATCTGACAGAAGTGGCACTTGGTGTGGTTTTCTGTGGCTGTAGCCCATATGGTTCAATGTGTTGTGTGTTCAGAGATGCTCTTCTGCATACTTTGGATGTAATGAGTGGTTATTTGAGTTACTGTTGCCTTGCTATCAGCTTGAACCAGTCTGGCCATTCTCCTCTGACCTCTGGCATCAACAAGGTATTCTTGCCCAGAGAGCTGCCACTCACTGGATATTTTCTCTTTTTCAGACCATTCTCTGTAAACCCGAGAGATGGTTGTGTGTGAAAATCCCAGTAAATCAGCAGTTGCTGAAATACTCAAAACAGCCCGTGTGGCACCAACAACCATGCCATGTTCAAAGTCACTTAAATCACCTTTCTTCACCATTCCGATTCTCAGTTTGAACTTCAGCAGGCCATCTTGACCATGTCCACATGCCTAAATGTACTGAGTTACTGCTATGCGACTGGCTGATTAGATATTTGTGTTAACGAGCAGTTGAAGAGGTGTGCCTAATAAAGTGGCCAGTGAGTGTATATATTTAGGACAGACACTCACCGGAAAGATGTAACAGATTCAAGCCAGGCAAATTTTAATCTCATACCTGGCTGGATAATACAGGTGGAACAGCCCCAAACTGGACAGACGAGGCTGTGGTTGGCTGCACAACTTGGTACGCCGTGCTCAGGTCTTGGTAATTATGTTGAGCGAGTCCAGAGTGCATAGAAGGTGTGGCAGTAACTCCATGCTGAAAAGCAAAACATTAGATGTGAATTTTGTGAAGAAAACTAAAAAATCTCAGTTGTCTAGGCAGCACCCGAAGATAGTGAATGGCAACTCCCCTGTAAAAAACATTTTTCAAAAGGCTACCCGTTCTTCTCTTCATGGTATTTGTCTACATACAAGAAATGTGTATTCTTACTTAAATCTTGGGATGTATTCATAGTAATTCAGCGTGCCTTTGTCTTTGTGCAGGGGCTTCCTATAATAAAGACCAGTCACTACTGCTCTCTCTCCTTTCGCAAGGATGACTGGTCTTCTATCCAACCCCCTCCTGTAATTGTCTGCAGGCAGCCTGTAGTAGTAGAGCTTGATTTTTCAAGGCTACAATGAGATTCCAACATGATGTGCAGATGTGATGCTTAGATTGACAATTGCCTGTCACTGTAAGCAATCTTTTTGTTAAGATATGCTTGAAAACAGACTGGCCAATTAAAACCCCTTAAACTATAATAAGGACAGTGCCAATGCTAGAGAACCTCTACTGAATGAGACCCTATAACTGCTGCCAAATAATTATTTGATATACCTCGGAACGTCACCTCTTTAGGTCTCTTAAGAACAATCATACTTCTTTAGACAGAATGTACTTTGCTAGCATGAACTGCTGCTCAGTATTTCAAGCTGTTCAAAAGAAACAATGTGTTTTAGGTTAAAAGGACTGACTCACATGAGAGAACATGTTTTGCTGTAGCAGTAGAAAGTCCTCCAGCAACATGGTTACAAGCTTTAAGATTCAAATTCCCCAGGGAAAATTTGAAAGCAATGTTATCACTTCTGCTCTCTGAACTTTTCTAAGAATCTTTGCAATCAGTGTGTATATGTACTTGTAGTGAGGGCTTAGAGGGGACACTTTTCAAAATTCACATTTTAAAAAAAGGGACAGCCACAGTAAATCTCTACTCTTAATATGCCCCTTTGGATAGGAAGGCGAGCTTGCAAAATTCAGCCATTTCCATGGTTTTTAGTTCTTTCAGATCTCAGGCAGCCGATTCAATAGAATAGCCGATTTGGCTATTCAATCCGGCTCAGTACGGCTGATTTCAGGCGTACATTGGCTGCATTTGGTCAGCCGAACATGCTCTGGATCGGCTGAGCTGAAGCTCTGGCAGCTCGCTCGCTGCTGTTTACCCCTTCTCATAGGGGCAGAATGGCAGTGAGTAAATAGCATGGTACCAAGCAGAATAGAAAATAGTAAAAAATAGAAAAACAGGTTAAAAAATATTTAAAAATGTAAATAAATACTGAACTTAATAAATAAGGATATTTTTAAAAAGAAAAAAATATTGGGCGGAGCTAGCAGTGACAGCTAGCTACGCCCAACTGTTTCCTATTGACCGACACCTGCTAGAGTCTCCTAGCAGGTGCCGGCCAATAACTGGGTGGAGCCGGCCGGGACATCATGGGATCCGTGAGATCCGCTCAGCTGTCATTTACGGGGCTTACGGCCGGGCTTTGGCAGGCTGTTTGCGCTGCTTCGGATGTCACTTGTTGAACTGATAAAGGTTTAGTAAGCACCCCTGCTGGGATTTTGGCTCTTCTCACTTGCTTAGCCCTTTTATCCATGGCATCTCAATATTTTAAAAGAAAGTGTTCCCTAACTTGAGTGATTAGGATATCCATTATGGGTTGTATACCCAATCTCTAAAAACTTGAGCAGAAAAGAATAATGTGATGGTAAATCTTCTTGATCTAGCCTATTCTCCAAAATCAAGACTTGCAACGGTTTGAAGTGAATCAGTCTTTTTTTTTTATATACCTGACTTGCAAGCATACTCTAGCCCAGTGAGCTGATATGCAGCTGTAACAAGTTCTTCACAATGGGGTTTAAAAAAAAGACTCCCATACACACCACTATAGGGCACTGGCTGTCCTGATGCACATCCAGCAAGCTCCAAAAGTTAAAAACAGTATCAGGTGTCAAGTCACACCTTTTAAAAATGGCTCACATATGTGAACATGTAAAGGTAGTTCAGCACCTGCATCACTGGAGGATGGCATGATGTCGGTGGATAAGCTTTACCTGCTACCCAGGTGTCCAGACAATCATAACCTCCTGGAATGCAGGACCATTGTGTCGTGTTCCTAAAAAGAAAATGGCTTTTGCTTCTGAGGGGTAGTGCAAATAAACACTGATCACAGTGACATGGTTGTTGCCATCTGAAAACTCTCCCCCAGGGTTGTAGATACTCACTCTCAATGGGGTGCTGCCTGGGGACAACTGAGAAAATGCATTACCCGTTATTTGGAAAGATTTTCCAGACACTTGGTGCACACAGAAGGTTAAAAGCAAAGGAAAATAGCATTTGGAAATCAGAAAAGGAAACAAAGGAGGAAACATTTTATACTGGTAATACCAGGACCTGAAAAGCCAGATTTTTGTTTCTATGTGCCAAACTATTGCACAATGCTCTGGTTAAACAGGGAGTCCATCTAAAATCAATATTTTAATTTCTGGAGAATAAAATTACTTAACTGCTTATGTCGTTCAGAGAGCCTGATTAAAAAAAGTCTCTACACACAGCCTACATGCCCACAGCAATTATGAGGAGGTCCCACATTCCCTTTAGGACTTTTCATATATGTTCATAACTATGGAGTAGTGGAAACATTTCCCCCAAGATAAAATAACTTTTGCAGCATTAGCTGCTCTTATACAACAGTACAATAGCAAACTAAACTACAAGGAGGGGCTAGTTTTTGGTGGTATATCTGCCATAGTTTCTGAATGGTCAGCCTTACAATGAAACAACTACTTGAAGATTTTAGGCATTAGTCAACAAAGACCGCAAAGGGCATTATCTGGTGATGCAGCTCTAGATTTTAGTCTTTTGCTACATGCTATAGTTAAAGTCTGCAAAAGCAGAAATGCAATACCATAGAACCTTAATCTATAGTAAAAAGTCCAACTTGCCTCGGCTTATGCAATATGAAGCAACATAAACCTACACAAACATGTTCTGCATGTTTACAGCAAACCTGCACTCATTTTCTTGTAAGACCTCCCAGAATAAAAAAACGCAGTGAGAAGAGTACATCCGATATCAATTGCCAGCAGTTTAGAGTAGCCAGGCTAAGTACACGCATCAGCAGTGGTACTTTCCGAACAATTGTAAAGCAATCAGTGCATGGACTAAAAAAAACATAGCAGTATATCAAAAACAGGTATCAAGACACCAACCTACAAATCCAAAAAAAAAAAATCAGGTGACCTTTGATCTGTCAAAAAGGTAAATATAAATTGCCTCAAACAACTCCCTGTGGAATATTTCCTTTGAATGTTCGTGTCAGATAAATTATTATTGGAGGGCTTGAATGTGTTCATAGACACTAGAGGGTGGGTGAACATAGAGAAACCATCCAACCGTCATCTGGCACCTGCATCTCCAGGCATGTCTCTCAACACAAATGTTTGGCTTGGCTAAGTATTTCTACTCAACCCAAGTGTGGCAGGAGTGAAAACAGACACCGTCTGTCACTAACTGCAAGTGTTTTTTGTTTTTATCTGACTGCCTTTACGAATTAGTGAAGTGCATGTGGGTAGATCAGACATTTGTTTGTTGCCCAAATTAGGCTGAAAATTGAGTCAGGCATCCATGGTCTCATGCCCATGTGTATTTTTACAGATAGAACAACCAATCCTTAAGGAATGGATATCTTACAGCTGCACTTGTACAGCCCAATATATACAAACAATACGACAGGTCTGACCATCATTTTTGGAACTTAGGCCTGTCAAAACACAGATGCCACTTTCATACAACTGTCAGCAAAATACTTAAGCAGGTATCTGCAGCAAGGGGGAGTACATTGTTCACAACATACTGGTCCTTGCTGTTAGTTATGTCCTTATACAACTGTCATAAAACAAGACCAAATTGATTGGCTGCTGTGGGTTACTTTACACCATTACTATTTGAAATCTATTACATTATGTCCTATATTTAAGTCTTTTTGGTAATCTTGATATTAAATGTTGCTCTACATTACTTGGAAAAAAATGTAACCTAGGTTCCTGCTAACTGCAATGTTCTAAGACTGAGTCACAGAACTTGACCTTCATACTATTCAACTATTCAATTCAACATTGTCTCTATAAACAAACTATCGACCTGGCATACTAGGAAGACTGAATGCCTTGGCATACAAACGTTCAGCTGGAGAAACGGCAGGAGCTGAGGTTAATTTCCGCCTCTTGGAAAGCGTTCTGTATCAACAGCTTAAAAATAGATTGCAGGACAGAAGCATGCTTGAGCAGACAAGGCAAACCCATCTGATGGATACTAAATATTCAGCAGCATATAATTTGAATAACTGAATATCTTTTTGAACAGACATCTGGAGATGGGTGATGACTGCACATGGCCAAATGTAATTAAAAGATCTGCTTACTAAATGAGCCAATTAAACAACTTGAAATGAGCAATATAAGTTACCTTAGGTAATTTATTGCATATGAGATACCTTCCCTACTCCCAGCAAAAGGGCAGGAAATGCCTACAAGCCTTCAAAATCACAGGAAGAAATTGGCTGCACAGAGGTCCCGGAGAATGAAATCTGTTGGAAAGACCACGTTTCAATGCCTAATTTATTGGTTGTCTGTTTTTGCTGAACGTGCAACTTATTTAATTACTGCTCTCAATCAAACTGGTTAGGTTATTGCTTCATGCAGAGGGGAAATGAGAGAGGCAGGAATTTTCTGCGGCTCTGCATGTGTAATGAGATGCAGTTTCAGCATCACTGGCAAAAGGATGCTACTGAGTGATCATTTTCTCTCCTACGCCTTTTCCACTTAAACAAGTAGCACGCTTTCAGGCCATTTTCACAGAGCTCTCAGAATAATTAGAGTTGTAAGCTTGATAACGAAGGCTGGAGACGCACAGGGAAGGATAGCATTTTCATAATGAAAACAAAGGGCCACCACAAATTGAGCAAATGTAGATTCAGGTGGGTCAGGGATTTGTCCATCCATCCCAAAGACAAAACAGATACAGGATTAAGTCATTTAACCTACCACCCAGCAGCCAGTTAAATTCCTATCCCCACATTGTTCAGTAGGAGATTTTGGTTTCCAGCTTGTAGAGAGCTTTCTACGGTCACAATCTTTATCCCAGGTTAATGGTCTGGAATAGTTATCTGGTTCTTCAAAGTTGTTTGCATCATAAATACCACCTCTTGTTGACAAGGAGATTCTTGAAGAGCCTGAGTGAGTTTTCTGGTTCATAATGAGTTGCAGAAGGTCATGTAACCCAGACAAATCTAAACTTCGGACGCATCTTTGAGGAGGTGATGGCAATGAGACGGAATGTTTTTCTAGGTCATACATGCTAGATCTTTTGTCTGACATGGAAAGGGGAAACTGAAAAGAGGAAGACCTTTGTGAACCCTTTTCTCTTTGCACTTCGGCCAGGCAAGTCTCACAGTCATGTACTGTAATCTTCTTTGGCATCAAAGCCTCAAGTTTTGCCTCCAACTCTTTCGACGCATTGATTTCCAGTAGGCACTCCGCAGAAATGGAACCTATTAGTGTTGTCTTAGATCTTTTGGCAACCATGGAGTCGCTGTGTCGACGGTAGGTAGGGCAGGAATGAGGCATCACTGACAGCAAGTTTTGGTCAATGCCAGAACTTTTCTAAAGATAGTAACAATGTGAAGAAGACAATTCGGTGACCAACAGTGGTTCGATGGTAACATAATCCACAGTAATCTGTGTATACTCACAAGGAAAATGGATTACTTTAAATTAGGTTTATAGACTATAGACTAACCAGCACTGGTTATTTCAATCTTCTTTGACAGCCAAGGGAGCTAATAAAAATTTTCATTAAGGTGTGTCTCTGCTGCTTGAAAAGGAAACATGTGAACGAAAAAGCTCTCTAACAAAAAGGTGGAAAATATTTTGCTATATTAGTAACAAACAGAAGAAAAGAAGATTAAGTAAAATCAGAGACTGGATGAAAAGAATAAAGAACAGCTTAGAGTTCCTAATGAATGAGTATTTCACAGGTAACCTTCTAATTTATAAACCATTGCTACTTGGTGAGTAAATGTAAAAATTGATTTTCCCCCAACTTGCTATGTGGCATTCTAATTTTTTGTGAAAAAACAGCTATTTCCTTAAAGAGATATTCCACCTTAAAAAAGGGAAAAGTAGCTGAAAAGGAGAATTATGGAGAGAGTGAAATACACTCACCCCCATAATTAGAGACAACATGCGACACTGCAGCTGTCATACGTCCTGGGGGGGGGCGTATTGTGGAACCTGGCCTTGGGGCGGCAGGGGGAGTAAATCCGGCCCTGCACAGGTCGGCTCTGTAGATCGAGAACTGAGCAATCACATGAGTCTTATCGCTTCGTTCCCGATCTTCTCCCTGAAAAGAGTGGCGACTGTCAGTCACTGATCCCTGCAGGGTCCACCCCGCCTCCCCTCTCCATTCCTCCAGCACTGACTGTAGCGATGGACAGGGGAGGGGGCAGGCTGAGCTGGCTCAGTCTCGAGAGAGCCAGAGCCAGTTATCAATCAGGTGGATCTTTCCGGGATGCTTTGCAGCTCTGCACCGTCAGCATATAGCAGGAAATAGCCCGCTATATGCTCAGTTTTGGTTCACAGGAGGACATAGTAAATGTTCTCCTGTGACCCTAAAGAGTATGGCCAAAAAAGGTCAGGCGTAGTTCCCTTTTAAAGTGAAGTTGTGTTAATATAAATTATATAATGGGATTTCATTTTAGAATAACCAATATACAATCTGTGCCACACATCCCCGGATTTTACCCTTTAACCTGGGAGGGGGTCAGTCCACAACATGGTACCGATATTAATAGTGGATCATTGTTAGAAGAACACGCAGGGAAGTTTTATTAAAAACACACCACCCTTCACTTGCATTAATTTACTCAAAAACATTGAATTAAATTTTTATTCACTTCAAAACCAAGTGTTTTCAGCTGACCTGTATCGATTTAGAATAAATGGGATTCATAGGACAGGGCTTGCCTAGTGTTTTTCAAACACTTATATGTAAAGCCAAAACTTTTTTTTTTCCATTTTGGATAGCGTTATGACAGTTGTCTTTTTGCCATCTGTGCCTCATTAGGGAGATTTCCATTTGCCTCCTGTCCTGTAGACTCAAAGTGGGAGGACATCTTTCCGTGGTGAGGAATGTCTGTCCCCACTGGAAGATTCTCTCTCTATTCCTGTTCTGGTGGCAATTCAAAATTTTCGATTTACCCTTACTTTCATGCCTAGGGACACTGGTGTTTAAGACAATTAGAGAAAGTAAAGCTCTTAAAAGTGACACTACTCAGGAGCTAAATCTTAAAATGAATGAAATTAGCTTAACTATTAACAAAAATGTAGCTTATTTGTGTATCACTCAGCTGTAGATCCTCAAATCATCTCTGAATTGGTGCTGGCACTGTCCTTCCTTCTGGAGGGTGGCTACTTTTGCTCCCCATGGTCCGTGTTGTAAAGTAGCCACTGCTCCAAGCTCGCTCCCAGGATGGACTATAATCTCACATTGAGGCCTTGCTCACACGCGTGGAACACGCTTGGTGTGAACAAGCGCTTAGTTTACTAATTTGAGATTGTAGTCCATCAGGGTAGTGAGCTTGGAGTGGTGGCTACTTTACAACACACACCGGGACCATAGGGAACAAAAGTGGCCACCCTCCAGAAGGAAGGACAGTGTCAGCATGAATTCAGGGATGATTTGAGGTCTACAGCCAAGTAATACACAGATGAGGTTCAATTTTTGTGAATAGGCAAGATACTTTAATGCATTTTTAAGGTTTAACGCCTGAGTTTAGTGTTACTTTAAAAATTCACCTTGAGCCCTAAATCACTTCAATAGGTTACACAGAGGGATATATGCTAAACACCACTACTTGTAAAAAGCAGTGCAACCAAGGACTCCGAACACACTGACTCTTCAGCCTCCAGAAACACATTGG